GAGGCCCCGCGTCCCTGGAGTGGAGAACTCCGACAGCCCTGCCCAGAGAGGTGAGGTCTGCTCTCTGGGGGAGGTCATTCCCCGGGAATCATCGTCTCTCCGAGTCTTCCTGCTTTCCTGGGGGCTTGACCCGGGGACCCAGGCCCCCAGAGGGCTCTCTGGAGGTGCCTGGACTGATTCCTGCCCCTCCCCCAGCAGAGGCGCCTGACGGGCAGGGTCCAGGACCGCAGGCGGCCAGGGAGCCCCGCAAGGTCGGAAAGGAGTGGAGGGGGCCTGCGGAGGTGAGGGGGGCTCAGGTGGGGCCGAGCTGGTGCAGAGGGTGGGCCGGAGGGCGGGCAAAGCCCCTCCCATACCCGCTAAAACCCCTCCCATGCCCATTGAACCCCCCTCTACCTGCCCACAGGGGGAGGAGGCAGAGCCGGCTGACCGCAGCCCAGAGTCCAGGTAGGGGCGGGGTGGGAGAGGTGGGGCCTGCGTGCGGCCCGGGCCGGCCCCTGACGCGCGTTCCGCCCCCGCCCCAGCACCCTGGAGGGCGGCCCCTCGGCCCGCAGGCAGCGGTCACAGCGGGACCTCCACCCAGAACCTGAGCCAGAGTCGGAGGAGCAGGACGGAGGCTTTAGGAAGGTGTGAACCCACCCCTCCTTTGGGGCTCCGCCTGCCGGGTGCCCACCTCCTGGCTTCCCCGCCCCCAGCGTCGCCCCTGCCCTCCACCTGACCCTCCTCCGCCTGACCCTCCTCCGCCCGACCCCCAGCTGTATGCAGAGCTGCGCAGGGAGAACGAGCGGCTTCGCGAGGCTCTGACCGAGACCACGCTGCGGCTGGCGCAGCTCAAGGTGGAGCTGGAGCGGGCCACGCAGGTAAAGGCGCCGAGGCCAGGGTCACCAGAACTGGCAGGGCCGCCTGGGTGGGGCTCAGACTGTTGGGAGGCAGAGCCTGGACTGGAGGGGCCGATGGGGCTTCGCTGCACCTGAGGACCTGGCCGAGATCTCGGAGGCGGGGTCTGAGCAAATGGGGGTGGGGCTGTGGGCCTGTTGGGGGCGGGGCCTGGCCCATGGGGCGGGGCTGGTGGGCTGCCTAGTGGGCGGGCGGGTCCCCAGCAGGAACGTAGGACCCCTCCTCAGGGCAGTGCTGGCTTCCCCTGCTGACCCCTGTGCTTTCCGTGTCCTCACCAGAGGCAAGAGCGCTTCGCTGAGAGGCCAGCCCTTCTGGAGCTGGAGAGATTCGTGAGTAGGGACAGTGGGGACGGGAGCCAGAGGCGTTCCCAGCCTCACATCACTAAGTTTGGACCAAGAGAGCCACATTGCCCTTCCCAGCTGGCCCCTGGCCTTCCCCTGTCCTCAGCCTCACTCGGTTTCTGAACTTTCCCTGTTCATTCCAGGAGCGCAGGGCCCTGGAACGCAAGGCCGCAGAGCTGGAGGAAGAGCTGAAGGTGGGGGCTGTGGGGGCTGTGGGGGCTGTGGGCAGAGGGCCGAGGGTGGGCGGGGGCGCAACCCACCAGGGCTGCCCAGCTGACCCTTTGCCGTCCCCCAGGCCCTGTCTGACCTCCGCGCTGACAACCAGCGCCTCAAGGATGAGAATGCAGCGTTGATCCGCGTTATCAGCAAACTCTCCAAGTGACCTGGAGGGACTCTCCCGCACCCGTATTTATACAGCTGCTTCTGCCACACGCACCCCTTCCCCCGTGTGAACACGAGTGACAGGGCTCCGGGGGAAGTCTCAGAGAAGCCATAGCCCCCCTGGGACCTCCGAACTGGGAGGGGAGCAGAGTCCCCAGGAGCCAAGGGGGCCACCCGAGGCCAGGATGGAGGTGGGAGGCCGAGCCAAGTAGGGGGACGTTGCCAGAGGGGACCAGGGCCAGAGCCGGGACTAGGAAGGAACTGAGGACCAAGAAGTGCAAGGACCAGTAGCCAGGACCAGAGTGGCCGCCTGGAGGTCCCCCTCTCACGTGTGATGCCACCCCGTCACCCCCCCTCCTGAGCAGGGATCCAAGACTGTGCCGAGAGTCCTGCCGGCCTCAGCCAGGTGGGCCTGTATATAGGGTCCATGTGCAATAGGGAGGGACGTCTTCTATTTTTTGCTGCCCCCTCCCCGCCCACTGTCTGGGGCAGGGGGAGAAGGTATTTTCGAGATAAAGCACAGGCACCACAAATAAAAGTCGTGAAGTTGCCACTCAAGGTCTGTGTTCCCAGCCAGAGGGAGGGCGCCGTTTCCTGCTTCTGTGCTGGGGGGCTGTGCATGTCTGTGACCAAACCACTGGGCCGCTGGGTGGGGTGCCGAGGGGTGGGCTGGTGCTTGCTCACCTGTGTGGCAGAGGAGCTTCAGGATGAGCCCCCAGCGGGAGTGAAGGCTCCAAGACGGAGCCGGCGTGATCACAGGCAGGGGGCTGAGGGGAAGTTGATGGGGGCAGGAAGGATCAGCGGGCAAGACCTCGGGCCAGGGATATGGAGCTGCGGAGCTTGGGTTTTGCCATCAGTGTCTTTGAAACAGATTTAGTCAATTGCCAACATTTAACATTTGGAGTAATCTGTGTATAAAAATCTGGAATTCCGGCTGGGTGCGGTGGTTCATGCCTGTGATCCCAACACTTTGGGAGGCTGAGGCAGGCAGATCATTTGAGGTCAGGAGTTCAAGACCAGCCTGGCCAACATGGTGAAACCCCATCTCTAGTAAAAATGCAAAAATTAGCCAGGCATGGTGGCGGGCGCCTGTAGTCCCATCTACTCTACTCGGGAGGCTGAGGCAGGAGAATCGCTTGAACCTGGGAGGCAGAGGTTGCAGTGAGCCGAGATCGAGTCACTGCACTTCAGCCTGGGCAACAGAGTGAGACTCCATCTCAAAAAGGGGGGAAAAAAGGAATTTTGACTTCTTTTGAAAAAACAGGAATCTGTGACAATATGAACTCTTCAGTCCTGCATAGCCACAGTTGACTAGAGCTGAGTAGGAGCCATCTTCTGAGATGAGGCATTCATTCATTCATTCAGTAATTACTGTAACACCAACAGGAAGAACAGGACTTAGTAAGTACAGTGTGACTGATAATTACTGAACAAAACAAAGATCCAATACTTTTAGGAGGGGAGCATCCAATGTTAAAATAAATGTATTTCAAGGCGGCAGCGCTCTGGAGAAAAGAAAGGGGTTGGGAAGGCGGGTGCGTGTGTGTGCACATGTGTTTTGAATAGAGTGGTCTAGGCAGGCCTCACGGAAAAGCTGGCACAGGTAGAGGCTTGAAGGTGGTGGAGAGGGAGCTGTGTAGTGACGGAAGGGTGCTCTGGATGATGAGAGCTGTGTGTGTGGAGGCCCTGGGGTAGGAATGCACCTGATGTGTTGCAGGAAGCTGAGGAGCTGGAGAAAGCAGGGAATGAGGTTCGAGAGGTCATGGCGGCTGTGTGGGGACTTGGCCCTGGGAAGGGCTTGAGCTTTGAGGTGAGAGCCCTGAGTGGCTTTTGGAGCATGGCCATGGCCTGACTTAGGTTTTAACAGGTCCCTCTGGCTGTTGTGTGGAGAACAGACTGGGGGTTGGTGGTGAGGATTGGGGAGACCAGCTAAGGGGCTACTGGTAAAATCCCGGCAAGAGAGATGGTGGCTCTGGCCGGGGTGACGGGAGTAGAGATGGTGAGAGATGGTCAGGTTCTGAGAATATTGGAAGATGCAGCTGCCAGGATGTTCAAACAAGCTGGCCTGTGACGGGAGTAGGGCTGAGGCCCAGCTGGCTCACTTGGTCTCTTGTCGGGTTCCTGCAGACCTTTCAGTTTGCAGTCTGGGTGGTGTGAGCCCTGGGGGCTTATTGGGGAGGGGAAAATGGAGCAAGGAGGTTTGGGGGAATTGCCTACCTTTCCGATTCCCCTGTTAAGAATGAGTGGTGGGGCCCCGGGCAAGTGGTAGAGGGGCTGAGAGTATTCTGGGCAGAAGTGACCACATGAACCAAGCCTGGCAGCAGGAGGAGGGAGCTGAGCCCTGTGGGGTCGAAGCCGGTGAGCCAAGTGGCAGCCTGTGACTGCCAAGCTGGGGCCTGGGTTTTGTCTGGTGGGCCATAGGGAGCCAAGGGAAGTGTGTGAGTAGGATCTAGGGACGGGGCAGATAGGGGAAGGACTCTTGGAGATCCAAAGAGGAAGGAAGGAACTGGAAGGAACCAGGCAGGAGTTGGCAAAGTGGGGACTGAGAACTCCTGCCTGCCCCAGGAGGATCTCTCTGATCCTTTCCCATCTTGGAGGGCGCCACCTGGTGCCCCAGGTTGGAACAACTCGGGGACAGGCTTGAGGCCCATAGGCCCGCAGTAATCTGGGGAAGCGGAGCCACGGAAGAAAGAGAAAGGACCATTCTTCCCAAAGGCAGAGAGTGTCCAGTCTGGAAACGGAGGGATCCAGAGAAAAGCAGACCTTACCAGCCACCTGGATAATAGGGAAAAGAATGTTACAGGGCTTGCCAGAGGGGAAAGGAGCTAGTTCTTGAGGGAGTAGGAAGTTTTCAGTTGGCTGCCATCTCCCAGGACAAAAAGTGACCAGAAAGCTGTGGCATGCTGGGGAGGCCGCCAGTTCTACCTGGCAGGGCCATGGCAGGAGGTGGGGAACTAGCTTCGGGGATGAGGGCAGGCTTCGCCACAGTGAGTGAGTGAGCTGAATAGGAGTTTGCCAGGCGGGGAATGGCTGTTTCGGCCAGCAGAGACAGCAAGTGCAAACCGCAGAGGTTGAAGGGGCTTGGGAGAGTTTGGAGAAGGGCAGGGCCAGGATGCAGGAAGGAATGAAGTGAGAACCTTGGTTCTCAGGGAACCAAGGGAGCCGCGAGCCAGGGAAACCCGAAGATGGGGCAGGCTGGACTTGGCTGGCTAGGAGGTCAGGAGGGAGCCTGGTTTGGGACCCGGGGGATGGAAAGGAGGGTTCGGAGAGAGAAACCAAAGAAGGTGGAACATCTTCCAGGTTCCTTGAGGCTGTGACTGGGGCAAGGGGAAGGTTTCTGGGCCCCCTGGTAGCCAGGTAGAGGACAGCAGTTGACACACCATCTGCCAAGTAAGGAGGCTGTTTATAGGCTGGGCGGCATATTACAATGCTCAGGGCTCTACTGCACCCTCTCGGGGGTCTGCTAGCGCTTTCCGTAGACTGTCTCCACGCCCTCCCCACTCACAGCCAGTCCAGATCTGCCCCGGAGGGACTGCAGCAAGGATTATTCAGTCTGTCCACGGGGATGGGGGAAGACCGGGGCCGGAGCAGATTGGCCATCCTACAGAAGATCGACTTCTGCTATTAAGGAGTCTGAAGAGTCCGTTCTCACACGGGGCCTGGTCACTCTTTGCGAAGGGCGCCGGGCAGGTCAAATGACCTCCGTTTCCATCCCGCCTTCCACCTTCTTCTTTTGCTTCTCCATCACTGCCTCCAGCTCTGACACTTTCTCTTTGTCCTGGAGGGCGGGGTGGAAATCGCTTTGTCCTGGTGTCCGAGCCCTCGGCGTCCCAACCCCACCCAGACCCAGGGACCAGCGGCCCGGCTCACCTCCAGCAGGGCGCGCTGCACGGTGACCTGGCTGTACACACGCGCCCCCTCCTCGGGGCTCACCGCCCGCAGCTCCTCCTTCTGCAGCGAGAAAAGCTGCGCCCCATTCAGCACACCCAGCGCGTCCACGGTCCTGAGCGAGGGCAGCCGGGGCGCAGTCAGGCAGGTCGGCGGATGCCCCAGCCCCCGCCACTCATGTCACGCCCACCCGGCAATGATCCAATCAGAACAGCTCCGGGGGGGGCAGGGCCCACACCCCCTGAACCCCACCCACCAATCACAATGTGCCACCCGGGGGGCGTGGTCATATCATGCTTTCGAAGGGTGCGGGATTTCCTTAAGGAATCCAGTCGGAGTCTGAAAACACATGGCAATCACAGCCTGCCACTGGATGTCGCTACCAGACAGACCCTCACTTCGGGCTAATCCCGGCTCCCTGTGGTCTCCACGACTGCTGCCCCCCGACTCCCGGCCGATCGGAACGCTCCGCTCCCAGCCTGCGTATCAACCCGCGCCGAGCCGGCCCCCGCCCCACTCACCCGGAGCTAAAGCCCTTGGCCTGCAGCCAGGCGCGGACCTCGGAGGCGTCCGATTGCGGGCTGAGCTGCGGTTCCGGAGCGCGGGGCCCTGGGACTGAGCGGCTCGGGCCTGAGCGGCCTTGGGCCAGGCGCGCCTGCAGTTCCTCGTTGACAATGAGCATCTGGGAGAATTTCTCTGCAGGTGGGAAACCGGGAGGGAGGGAGTGGGGGCTCAGGGCGAGGGGTCCTGGGGCCAGAGGGCGGGGGGGTGCTCCAGCCTCCCCAGAATGGGGCAGGAGTCCATTTGCTCTTTCTGAGCCCCCGTTTCCCTGCCTGGAAAGCAAGGATAAGAACCTCTCCCCACAGCCGGCGTCCCCACCACTCACCCTTCTCGCTGGGGTCCAAGCTGTTGAGGCTATCGCAGCTGTCCCAGCGGGGCCGAGCCAGAGCTGGAGGTGGGGCTGGGGCTGGGGCTGGTGGCGGAGGAGGAGTGCTGTTCTGAAAGGAAGGAGAGGCGAGCACCTGGGTTAGGGAGAGGAATCAGAGTCCCAGCCTCTCCCCTTTCTGGAGATGCATTTCTGAACCCCCAGTCACCACCTGCACCAGCACTCTTGACAGCTGATCCCCACGCCCCTTGTTCCCAGTATCTGGTCCCAGCCTCTCCTCCCTCAAGACCCCAGCGTCTGCGCCGGCTCACCAGGCTGCGGGCAGGGCTTTGGCAGTGGTGCAACCGGGGTCCGGGGTGGGGTGTCAGGATGTTATAGGGCACATATCCCTCCTGCCCCGCTGGGTCCCGAACCTTCCACCACTTGCGCCTGTCATCCAGGACCTGCATGCGGTAAAAGGCAGAGGGTTCAGAGCCTACATCTGCAGCTAGGGCTGCCTAATTCCTGCCCCTCAGCCTCCCGCTCCTCTAACCTCCAGTACGTCCCGCTGCTTGACCGACAGCTCACTGCTGTTGCGGGCCTGGAAGTCATAATTACACAGGACCCATTTTCCTGCTGTCCCTGACTCCAGCTGAGGCTCAGATTCTGGCTCCAAGTCTTGGTGACTGAGGAGAAGCAGGAGGGTTGGAGATAAGGAGGCAGCCAGCCCCATTGCTCTGGGGTGCAGGGTGCTGGTGTGAGCTAGGGTTAGAGCCAAGCAGGGGGCACAGCAGGGGCCAGGTTAATACTGTTAATAGAAATTTGAAACGAGAATAACAGCCTGAATATGTTTTGCCCCCCTCCGTTGTTTGGCATTGTGCTGTAGGCATATGCAGTGGGTACTATCCCATCATCGATTCCATTTTACAGAGGAGAATGAGGCTCAGAGAGATAAAACCACTTGCCTACATCACACAGCTAGAAACAGCTGTCATTTATTGAGCATCTAATAGGCACTGGGCTTAAATATCATAACTCATGAGCATAATAAAAACAATAGCTATGCCAGGCACGGTGGCTCACGCCTGTAATCCCAGCGGTCTGGGAGACCGAGGAGGGCAGATCACAGGGTCAAGAGATCAAGACCATCCTGGCCAACATGGTGAAACCCTGTCTGTACTGAAAAATACACAAATTAGCTGGGTGTGGTGGCGCATGCCTGTAGTCCCAGCTACTCTGGAGGCTGAGGCAGGAGAATCGCTTGAATCTGGCAGGCAGAGGCTGCCGTGAGCTGAGATCTCACCACTGCACTCCAGCCTGATGACAGAGTGAGACCCTGTCTCAAAAAACAAACAATAGCTACCACTTCTGTAGCACTTACTATGTGCTAGGCACTGTTATGTATATTAGTTGATTTGAGCTTCATGACAACCGTTGGTAGAACCATGAATTTGGACTCCCCTCTCCCCGCCCCCAGTTTCTTCCTCCCCCAGAGACCCGATTATCTTCTCCATTTTCACAGAGGAGGAAGCTGAGGCACAGGGATGTAAAGGTCACAGGTGGCATCGCCAGCCTGGGACCAGGGCAGTCCGTGTCTGAATAATGCTGCCCTCTGTTGCAGGCAGCTGGACTTGAACTTGAACATGGTCACAGCCTTGAGCCTTGAACTGCTAGTTCCTACAACACCACAGACTTCTCGCTGTTCCAGGAAGGGATTACCATCATTCCCAGTTTCCCTGCAAAGAACTTGAGGCTCAGAGAAAGTGACTTGAAGCTGTGAACAGGGAGGGGGGTTGCGATATCAGGCAGCTGGGGGCAGGGGTGGGATTTCAGCTCTGACTCCCAATAAGAGGGACCTCAGCCTGGATCAGGCCTACCTGTGCAGGGGGGAGGGGGGGTCTTCAGGGCCGCGGCACCCCCTGTGTGGGGCTGGCAGCTCCCAGCACGCTGTCCCTGCTGAGACCCTCTGCCCAGGCCCTCACCTAGACCCCCCTTTGTCTCCTCCAGCCTCACTGCTTTGTTTTCGTCTCCTCCCATGTTGTTTCCCTCCAATCTGCCCTCTATTTGCTCAAGGACCCTAGAGTTCTGGTCCATCTACTTCATTTCCTCCCCCAGGACCCAGAGTCTGAACCCCCACTGCTTGGTAGAACCTGACGTGGAATGTCCTCTTTTCCCCCAGGGACCTAGGAGTCCAGGTCTCAAGCTTCAATCTTATCCTTTTAACTCTTAAACCTTTTAACCCAGTCCGACACCCAGCAGTGACTTAGACAATTGCATTAGAGCGTCTGGAAAACCAAGAGGTTAATCACCCAGCCTTTACCCCTCTCCAGGGCCCAGAGATACTACCACTTCCTAACTTTCCCAGAAACTTGCCCCCAAGCCCTTGAAGTCCCAAGCCTGCTCCTCTGGGTCTCCAGGATCCCAAGCACCAGACTTGGGCTCTTCTTCAAAACCCAAAGGTCGAATTCCCCAGCCTCTCCCCTCCAATATCCAGGGCTCTGTCCTCGTAGGGAGCCCAGACATGGTGCTTCCCAGGCCCTGAGAAACCAAACTGCCTTCTTCCAGCCTTTTGGGGATCCAGAGATCCAACCTCTCAGACTTTACCCACTCCCAGCCCCTTTCCTCCCTTAGGCCCGGAAACCCCGGTCTCCATTCCTTCCTCCCTTGGCCCCAGAAGTCTGGATCCCGCCCCCTCCCTCCCTGCTCCTCCCTCTCTCCCGGCCCCGGCCCGCCCCTTCACCATCTCACCCACCTGAAAGGAGCCAGGAAGACAGAAGGAAAAACACAGAAAAAAAGGGGGCGGAGTCAACACCGGGAGACCCCGGGAAGCACCCCTCCTGGACCCCCTTGCCCTGCCCTGGGGCGGACACTCACCCATTGACAGCGACCTGGGGGGCGCTTTGCTGCAGGAAGTAAGAGAGTCGGGTCAGGCGGGGCCAGGCGGACCGGCCGCGCCCCCACCCCGGACTTCCCAGCCTCGGCCCTGCTGTGTTGCTTGGGGGAGCTGGCTGCTCCCCTGAAAGCCTCAGCCTCACCTGCCGGCGCCTCCGCTCGTGCTGTAGCTGTTTCTCAACTGGGTCTTCCCAAGCGCGGCCCTGCGGGTCAGTAACCGGCGGCTCCCAGCCGCTGAAGAACTCGGGTCTGTATGGGGGTCCCTCTTCCGGGGGCAGCTCCAGCCTGCAGCCAGGGACAGGGCCAAGAGCTCAGGGATCCTGATACAGCCCCCAGCTGAGCTCTGTCATTAACTTCACTAAGTTTTCCCCTAAAGCTCGCTGTATCTAGCCCCGCCACTTTTCACCAAGTCCTGCCGGTACCTCCAAGCCCAACTCAACAGTAATTTCTACTTCTAGGCCGGGTGCAGTGGCTCACGCCTGTAATCCCAACATTTTGGGAGGCCAAGATGGAAGGATCGCTTGAGGCCAGGAGTTCAAGACCAGCCTGGGCAACATATTGAGACCCGCCCCCCACGCCCATCCATCTCTCTCTCTCTCTGGAAAAAAAAATTGCCTTATCTAGCCTCTAAATTTCACCTCTGATTCCAAATCAGGTTTTCCTTAAGCTCGGTTTCAGGTTCTGACCCTTTCCCTACGAAACTCCCAGCCCCCAGTGCACAGACGCTGTCCCATCGCCAAAGTTATAGACCAAACTTTCCAGAAGCCCCGCCCCTTCGCGTAGCCCCGCTCCTGCCCCGTAGCCCCTCTATTCCTTTAAGCCCCACCTTTTCTTTCAATCTGATTGGTCTGCTGGTCTTAAATCTTTCCTTCATATTAATTTCTGGCCTTTCCGCCAATTGAATCTTGGCATCTGTCCTAAGCCCCGCCCCAACACAACAAAGCCACGCCTCCAACCTTTCCCTTTCCTCCTAGTCTCATTTTCCAATCATCATGCCACTCATCTCCCGGCCCTTAAGCTCCTCCAATCACCACGCCCCCCGCCTCCCAGTCCCGCCCCTCACCCGGGGCGGGTCCACGAGTCCCCCAGCGAGGTCCAGAGCTCGTTTTCACGTGGAGTGACGTTGTCCCGCAGCAGCGCCACGGCATCCGACGTCAGGTGCGGCCGCCGCACGCCGCTCGCGAACTCGGGCCCCCCCGACGTGTTCACAATCTGTCAGGGGAGCGGGAGGGGGCAGGCCGTGCCGTCACACCGTCTGCAAGTCGAACCGATTCCTCCCGCCGCAGGGGGGCCCGAGGACCTGGGGCAGGTCTCACCATCTGCAGAGGCCCGAAAAGGAAGTGCAGCAGCTCCGGGGAGGAGGGGTCGGCGATGTTGCCGCGCAGCCGGGCCTGGGGCGTGGGGAGGGAGGTGGTTGTCGTGGGTGCGGGGACGGG